ATAATTTCTACATTCTGTTGGACAACCTTTCTTGGGAATGGTAACAAATATGGACCTCTTCCAATTAAGCCAGGCAGCTGTCCTCCAAATTTCCTGGCATAGAATGGTGAGTGCTTACAGTGACGCATCTGTTAATCAAAACAAGTCAAATGGTATCCCATTGATTCTTGGAACCTTATTTTTTGCCAATGCTTCCATTGCAGCTTCTCCTTCCTCTGTCATTATCATTGGTTTCTGTTCATATAGTACTTCCTGAATTTTTTCAGTGTCAATAATATCTTTCTGGTACAGTGATTATGCATATTCCCTCCATCTTCTTTAAATTACATTAACATAAATCCACAGGAACCATCTTCAAATTACATTAACATAAATCCACAGGAACCAAGATATGATCTTGAATCAATTCCATATGAATTTCAAGATCTTCTTAAAAATAGGTTTGAGGCTTTGAATACCAATGATTGAAGACCAGATGAGTTTATGAATAATATTAAAGTCATTACCCATGAAGAAAATAAAAGGTCATTACAAATAGAAAAGAAAAAGAAAGAATTGAAATGGATGTCAGAAGTGATTCTAAAGATTGCACTGAAGCATCAAGAAAAAGGAGAAAGAGGAAAAAAAGCAAAAGGAAAAGTGTCAGAGTGACTCAGCCGAATAGAATATTTCGAAGGGCAGCTTGGGAGGATAAAGCAAAATATTATAAAGGAATGTGCAGAGAATTGATAAACAAAAAGGGAAGAAATTCTGCTTTTCTCAAGCTAAAAGAAAAGAAAAACGCACTTAAACCTCGTATCACAGTATTGAATGATGCTGTTGGCAATAAATTGAATGACCCAGAAGGCATCAAAAGAAGATGGAGGGAACATCATGATGGATGGAAAAAATATTGAAGTTGTCAATAATTTAATTTTACATGGATCTGCAGTCCACAATCACAGTAACAGCAGTCATAAAATCAAAAGATGTTACTCTTAAGAACAACCTGCTGTCAAAGACCTCTCCAAAGTTCTAAAGAGAAAGGATACCAACTTAAAGAGTAAAATGGGACTAATCCAAGCCATAGTCTTTGCAATTGCTTCCTATGCATTTGAAAGTTGGACAAATAAGAAGCCAGGCAACAAAGAATCTATGCTTTTGAATGGTGGTATTGGTGAAGAGTTGTGGTCTATGGACTGACAAAAGGATGAAAAAAATCTGTGTTGGATGAAGAGCAACCAAAGTAGTACTTATAAGTGAAGTTGGTGATATTTTGTCTCACCTACTTTGAGAATATTGGAAGGAAGAACCAGTCCTTGGAAAAACATCATATTGGGGAAAGTAGAGAGTCAGAAAACAAGAGCATGACATTTTACAAGATGGCTTTACACATGACTCCCGTGAAGGGCTACCATGATGATGAGGATGGTGCAGGATAGGACAAACTTCAGATTTGTTCCTCATACCTGAGGCATTTGCTGCAGAAGATTAAGGACTGCAGCCTTCAATATGGATTGAAGCTCAACATCAAGAAAAGATTTTCACCACTGGGACAACTGGTAGCATCATGATAGATTGAGATTGTTAACAGCTTCAACTCACTTGGCTCCACAATCAACACTTGGTACCATCAACCAGGAAATCAAAAGACGCAGTGGGAAAATCTGTTTTCAAAGACATTTCCAGAGTACTGAAGAGCTACAATGCCAGTCTAGAGACTAAAGTACGCCTGATCCAGGCTATGGTCTTTGCTATTATGTGCTATTAATCAGAAAACTGGACAGCGACCACAGATGATAGAAAGAAAATTGATGCTTTTGAGCTGTGGTCCTGGAGAAGAGTATTGAATATACCATGCACTACCAGGAAAACAAAAAAATTCATCCTGGAGAGGGTTAAACTAGGCTGCTTCTTGGAGGCAAGGATTCTGAAGTTTTGTCTGACGTGTCATAGGAAGGACCAGTCCTTGGAGAGGGACATCATGCTTGAAAGGGTGGAGGGACAGCACAAGAGAGGAAGACCCTGGATGAGATGTATTGACTCAGTGATTGGGTAACTGGGGTAGCTGTGCTAGAGACAATGAGATTGGCTCAAGATAGAGCAGTGTTCAGAGCTGTTGCATGTATGTATGTTGTACATTGTATGTAACTCATAGCTGTCACTATGAGTTGCAAGCAACTCGGTGGGACATAAAAACAACAACAGTGTCACTATGAGTAGTCATCAAGTCTAAAACGAATATTAGCTATAAAAAAAAAGTCCATGCGGCATCATTTACCTACTATGGTTGTTTATAATACAAGTCAAGAAAGCATAATTGCATAGAATCTCCAGTGCATTAGAATTTATAATGAAGCGACCTTGGAAAGAGTAGATGAGAAGTGTGATTTGCAAAGTTAGATGAGATCCATAGGATAAAAGTTTCTATTAATCTTTTCATCATTTCTAAGACTGAATGACATACATGTTTATTAAACAAGCTAATTCTAAATAATAAGTGTCTACTAAGGTCCATCTAAATAGAATATTCATACCCTCAGAATGAATGGTCTCAGATTTTACTAGGACACATGGTATACAACTTAATAAGGTGAAAATTGAGCATGTCTATCTGTTAAGCATTGGAGATAGCCATGCTAATTGTTGTTCTTATTATTAGATATCATTGGTTCCAACTTAGAGCAACTCTTCGTACAACAGAATAACAGTTCTAAACCTTATCAGATCCTATACTGTCCTCACTATCTGCTCTCTTTTTTTTTTTTTTTT